CCATCCTCCTGCCTCAGCGTCCCGAGTGCTGGGATGACAGGCTGTGCCAGCATGCCCGGCCGGGATTGATAGTTTAAATAGGCAGTGATCACCCTGAAGAGTCACTGACCCAACCCTGTACAGGAAAAGCCCCTGTTCTGTGCCCATGCCCGCTGGGTACGTGTCTCAGTTCCCTACATGATCCCAATTTAATGCATTTTACCTGAACAATCATCCTTGCAATCCTGCTGGCTGACCATAGTTCTGTCCGACCTCATGCCCACCTGTGACTTCCCATTTTCCCCTGCCTTGGACCCGCCTCACATCGTGGTTTTGCTCTATAAAATTCCCTAGAAAATACAGGTTCCTGGGCCACGCACCCCTCCCTTTTTTGTCTTTTTGAGACAGGGTCCCACTATGCAGCTCAGGACTTGAGCTCACTCTGTAGCCCAGGCTGGTCTCCAACTCACAACGATCCTCCTGCCTCAGCCTCCCCAGTGCTGGGATGACAAGCATGTGCCACCACTTTTAATTTCTTTTTCTTCCCTCTCTCGGACAGAAGCTTTCTTTGCCTCAAATACATTCTGCTCTTAACCTCCGTTGTCGCTAAAATTCATTGTTCGATTTTAGAGGACACGAACTCCTCCCAGGTATCCTTCAGCTTGGGCTTTCCTTCCCCTGTATCAAGGGCACTTGGAGAATGCTGGAGGGTGCGGTGTCTCCAAGTCCTAGGACCCGACGGGGTCCTGCCCGGCCCTGCCCAGCTCGGGGCAGCCGCTGAGCTGTGCCCTCTCAGCCCAACGCCTTGCCCATCCCGGGACAGTGCCAGGGGCGCCTCTGAGCCTCAGCGCACTGGGTCACACACTCACCGTGCCCGGCCCAGCTCCCGACCCGGGAAGAGCCGGCGGAGGTCCCAGGTGCAGCCCGTGGGCCTCTGCACCCCTGAAAGCAGCCCCTTCCCGCCCAGCCCCCGGGGACCCCACCACTCACCATGACTCCTGGGGTCACCGGGGGAGGAGCAGGCGCGTCGGGCGAGGTCTCCCCGTGACAGAGGGCGAGGGCTCTGGCGGGGGCAGCAGTGCGCAGCGCGCTCCCATCCCCACTTATACCCCCGCCCACCGTGTGCAGGGCAGCCCTCCCCCGCCCAGGCCCCACCCCAGAGGGGCTGGTGGGCTCAAAAGTTCAAACTGCTTTAGATAGTTTCAAAGGAAAATAAGAAGGAAAAGGAAAGGAAATAGAAAGGAAAATAAGTAAGGAAGAATAAAGCCAGCTGTACATTAAAAAAAAAAAAGTTCAAACTGCTGGGTGTAGGGGCACATGCCTTTAATCCCAGCACTCGGGAAGCTGAGGCACAGCACTTGCCTGGCAAGTGCAAAGGTCCTGAGTTGCATTCCCAGAACAAAGAACGAAAGGAAACATCATAACAAAATAATTACAGAATACCAATCCTTAATACACTGCGTAGGATATTTTTTAAATGATGGCCGATATATTACGCAGAGTAAAAGTAAAACAAGACACTCTTAAAAAACAAGACGCATACACAGGGTGTGCTGGTGCACGTCTATAAACCCAGCACTTGGGAGGCTGAGGCAGGGTTATTGCTATGAGTACAAGGCTGACCTGGGCAACAAAATGAGTTCAAGGCCAGCCTGAATTTCATAGTGAGATCTTGTCTCAAAAAGAAAAAAAAGGGGCGGGTGTGGTGGCACATGCTTGTAATCCCAGCACTCAGAAGGCTGAGGCAGGAGGATCTCTGGGAATTTGAGACCAGCCTGGGCTACAAAGTGAGCTCGAGACCAGCCTGAACTGCACAGGGAGAACCTGTTGAAAAAGACCAAAAAAAAAAAAAAAAAAAGCTGGGTGTGGTGAAACACACCTGTAATCCTAGCACTTGGGAGGCTGAGGCAGGAGGATTGTCACAAATTCCAGAGCAGCTTGGGCTGCAAAAGTTAACTCAAAGCCAGCCTGAAATTCATATTGAGATTCTATCTCAATTTATTTGGCCTTTTTTGTTTGTTTGTTTTTGACTTTTTGAGACAGTCTCACTATGCAGTTCAGACTGGCCTGAACTCACTTTGTAGCCCAGGCTGGCCTAGAACTCACAACCATCCTCCTGCCTCAGCCTCCCCAGTGCAGGGATTACAGGTGTGTGTCACTATGCCTGGCTGAGACTTTCTCAAAAAGACAAAATAAAACACAAAATAAACCCACAAAAACAGAAACCTTTCCTTTTAAAATTTTGTTTTAAAGAAGAAACAGAAAGCATAAAAACCCAGAAAACAAAATTCCAAAACAATAAGATAGGAGGCTAACAATGGTTAATACATTGCATATCACTACCTTTAAATTAGTTACTCAGAGTAGGACAGATCAGCATTGAATTATCCAAAGAGTATTACCACAGACGTGTCTTTTCAATGGACTGAGACAAATTAGGAGTGTATCTTAACTATTATATATATCCCTTTTCTTTCTTATGCCAGCCCCGGGAAGCAATTTCTCTCTCCTTTAGAAGATTCTTCCCCTTTTACAATATCTGTTGCACACTGTGCATCACACAGACTCTCAGCCGCTCACACTAGGGAGACAGTAGCTGTTTATACATCTGCCTCTGGTTTATGTCACTTCTGAGCAAGGCTTCTATTTGCATCCATTTACCTATAAAAGTCTCCTATTTGTACTTCTTTCTG